AATGCCGCAACCCCTAGGTCTAACACACATAGGTATGATCTCTAGGTCTGAAGTAATGTGAAAAAACAATTCCGGTCTTGTTTCTAGTGTCTTAGAACAAAAAAAATCCTCATAAACAATAAATAACAATGTTATTTAATTAAGTACAATTCACCATACACTGTCAAATAACATTCGAAATAATTTACACGCTGTATTCTCTACTGCATCGCATGCACCTGTTTCCACAGGTTACTAATGTATACAGACGGAATACAACGCAGTTTAATCAATTAAATGTGGTCACCAGTTTGCATAATTTACCATGAAACTCCCTTGTGTATGCTTGGCTCACTGTTATAGACTGTAACAATATTGCATGGTTTGTTTCTACACACTGCACACAGACCCCTGGGATTCGACCTAATAGTTATTGAGCTGGACATATACTAGACCTGTTGTTGATATGAATGCTACTAAATATAATGATATTATACCAAGTATAATATACAACGAAGGTAATTCATTCTAGTGTTGATACCCAAATTAAAATAACTTCATTATATTAAGTGGTGCTGGTTTAGTATTATGAATCAAAAAAGTTTTCTAAAAGCGCTTTAACTTATTCAGTGCTTTAACTTTAATTTGGAGCAGTTAGAGTTAAAATCAGGGAAAATGTGTATAACATTTTTAAGGGAGATTGAATTTCTTTTATAATTAAAAAACATATCTATATGTTTATAAGGAACATCTGTTACTTGCTACAACTTCAGATGACCGTTAAAGACCTTTTCCAGGCTGGAACGCAAAAGTCCATATACAGATTTTTAAAACTAAGTCAACTGTATACGTTTTACGGTTCTGCCTCCAATAACAGTCATAATATTGGATTATATTTTTTTATGAATGACAATATTAATATATTCTTAGTTTACACTTTTGATATGCTACGTGTTCTAGTATACATTTTTTAACGCCACCAAACCCAAGAAAAGAACGATCCACCTATCGTTCTTAGTATCCACTTTGGACCAAAGATGCTACTTTATTATTTAAATGTTTGTCAACAAACAATGAGACTATAAACTAATCAACGTATAATTGCGTTCGTGAAATTTTGCGGAAAAGGCTTATCAGGGACAAAGTTCGATGATCAACATGCAGCAAGTTTCTCACTAACAGATGAAGCGTCACATCGTGGTTTAAAACACGCCCTTGGAGTAGAGTGATTGCATTTTTAAAATACCTCTTACAGGGGAGTTTCACAACGAGTTTCAAGAGTATGGTAAGAGGATGAGCGCTGTCTTCCTCCCCTCTCCTCCGTGACACCCCCTCTCTCCCACAACAAACAAGGACCTTGATGATGGTGCACCGCAGTAGGTCAGAAGTTGTTAGACCAGAAAAAAACTGTGAATATTGAACTGAGGGAAAAGTTTGATTTATGACTCATTATACAAAAATTATGTATTAGGATATATTGTTGAGTATGTATGCATTATTATGATGTAATACTATTATAATAAGTTCTAGGAAGGAATTTAATTTGATGATGACTAAAGTGTCCTTATACTTTTTCATACTGAAAATATTGTTTTTAATTTTATCAAAAGTATTTATATTTTTACTTCGCATGGATAAAATATTTGTTACTTTACTTAGAAAAGGCGACCATAGGAATGTAGGAATTTTAAGTCAAGTTTGAATGGAGATGAGTGTCGGATGAGCGCGATCTTTTAGTCTTGTTAGTGACTAAGGCCGACATATTCCTTACACACAGCTGTTAAATAGCCGATACAGCCAATGGTAACTAAGGGACCTACAGTTTATAGTTGAATCCGAACCAAATTTTTGCCTCTTAATTAACGATTTGGTCTAATTATCAGGATAGTACTGCGGATAGTCAAAGTACTCACTAGTGTGGACGTTAATCCACACCGTTGAGTATCGCATCCACAGTGCAAAAATAAATTCTATAAATATCCACAATTTGTGACCCCCTGTAGCTAGATTACAGGATGACGCCAGCGTCCGAGTATTGCTTGTAAGTGTCATCTTGCAAATGAAACTTGCAATGCCGATCAAGATGCTATTTAACAGGTTGTTGTAAGATTTATTTTTAATGAGGACATTATTTACGAGTACTTTTGTGATTTGAACAATTTTAATTTCAATCCATATACAACTGACATATTTTTTATGCAATCTAGAATAACTATCATTTAGAAAGCGATTATTTTTCATCACAATCCAACAATCTCTCTACAAGTAAATGTGAATAGAAAATGCAACATTTATTCTTACATAATTAATAATATAACAATGCATAAACCATTTTAGCAATACGCAAATTAAAACATGAAAAACAGCAATTAAAATATGATCAGGGTCTATATATTAAATATATTTGATGGGGTGAACGAGTTATACATCTCTTAATGGATGAATCGGCTGGGAACTTGTATTTGCAGTTAAATATTTAGGTATTGATGAATATTTACAACAGTCACAAACCAATCCAAACATCAAAAGCAAACGTTTCGTATACATCTATCATGTAATTTGGCGTTATTGATGTTAGTTCCAAATGGTCGGACGTTCTCCGTTATATATTCGTATTTTATAGCTTTCCGATGTTTATCTGAGTACACATTACTTTAGGCCAGATGTAAAATCACGTAAACAGATGTTATTTGTTTATTTTTCATCGTTTGAGATTCTGACTTCGTATACATTTAGAGGGTTAATACTTCATTTTATTAATATTAAACACATTTATAACTTCCCTAGTTTCTAATAATTATTAAATTTGAAACTCTATTAGTAAACAATATTAAGGATAATAGATTGTCCATCATAATGTATTATATTTCATGATGTATAAGTCCCAACTTCTTCGGAAACTTTTCCCAGCTTGGTGATATTCGGTGGGTATTAAAATATTAATTAGTCATATCATTTCTGTTGATTGAAATCAAACGTCTTTACAATGGTATTCTATGTTATATGAAAATACAATTTTTATAAGTAGTTTACAAATGTAACTTTTTATTTTGATTTTGAATTAATCAACTATTCCTTAAGGAAATGCAAAACTTAAATCGAACTTTGAATTTTAGGTCTTTTTGGGTTTTTAAGTGGTAGGCTTTACGTTACACGTGTTCTGCTAATCTAAACCCGCTTAAAACTGTTAATAAAATAAACAAACTTTTAGTCATGTCAATACCGCAGTATTTTAAAGACTAATAAAGTCAATTTAGATTCTTTATTGATCATTAAACACAACTGTTAAATGGATCTTCTCATGCAACGTGGAATTAAATACAATGATCAAAAACAATACATGCAAATGCAGATTACTTTTACAAGAGTCAGAGAACTAGCCCATACAAAAGAATACATGATTATAAATGAAGAAGTAATGGAAACAATAAACATATACTAAGGTATTGAGTAAAATAAAAAAAGAGTTGAGAAAAACATAAAATACATGACAACATGGTAGGTCTGATCAAGCATTACAACATGTAAAGTATGATCTTTAAAACTCTTAATACAATTAATAAATAAACAGAACAGTAAAAGCTATCACAGGTACAGAGGTGTTCATAAAACCTAATAAATAGACTAATTTATACGTGCAGATATATCAGATTGGATAAAACTGAAAATTTGAAAGGTTTCAGTAAGAATGTTTTTCGATTTAAAATCAGAGAAAACAAATCAAACATTAATTTTTTATTGAGATGTCCAAAAGGGTGTATTGAAAATTTAATAAAAAATCATTTTTTTATATTTTTTATAGTATTAACTTACATTTTACGAACTAGTATTAGGTTCACATATCCACACAATACCTTAATTCAAACAAGTTTTTAAATTTCAACCACTTCCTAACCAACGCCTTTTTAAAGCTTATTTTATCCATTACAAGCTATTTTGGATTTATCAGATATTTTTAATGTACGTGAAATGTTACAGGATAAACCTTATAAATCTCATCAATAAAAGGCAAATAATCTTTAAAACAATTATAAAACTTCTCTTAATGAAGTATAGTCAGCGATCATGTAATAAATCACCCAAGCGTACCCTACGGTGACATGTATGTTCCGGCGGTGCCCTTTGTACGCAGAGTGCTGGATATTTCAACGTCCTGAGGAAAGTGCACAGGTACAATAGTGCCTCTCAAAAAAATCCAATGAAAGCTTTAGCGGCATGTAAGTGGAACTGGAGAGCTTTGTCAGGGCTTCGGCCAGATGTAAGTTGTGAATAGAACCTGTGTTGAAAATATTACACTTACTTTTCAACCTGGCAAAAGCTGGTTAGGGGCCAGTAACACTTCTCAACAACTGACCACTAACTACCATCCTAAGTGCCTATGTTTATACACGAACTATGAACTAAGTAGAAAACAAAAATATCCGTGGTTTGTCAACCTTACAATTGGCGTATTACTCTTCAATGTGGGATCTACAGGTTGAACTACCTGAGGGCACGAATTAGACAATATTAACAGCTATGTATATTAAAATGCAATTTATAAGATAAATTCGTGGGCTAAACAAGTGTGCAGTGATGACTGTGTATAATTTGTTTGAACGGTAGAATTATTACCGTGTTTGACTGTTGTTTCATTAAACTTTTTGTAATTTTTTATGTTACCCTTCGGATTACGCTGAACATATAAATTGGTTTAAATACCTGCTTCTAGTAATCCGATAGTCGCAATTACTGTCACGCAACTAGTTTCGACTTCATGAAAATAATCACTTCATCAGAAGGTCTTCGATCTACACATGGTACATTCAAACACAAATACGCACACGGACACGAACTTAGTGAAGTGATTATTTTGACATCCACTGGACGCCTGAGGATGACCTCTTCATGAAGTCGAAACTAGTTGCGTGACAGTAATTGTGACTATTGATTAATAGAAGCAGGTATTTAAACCAATTTAAACCTTTAGTGTTTATGGCCATTATGTTATTGTTTCTAACGAACGTTTGTTTCTGTTGCAGGAGATTGGACCGTGCGAGTGGAGACAGTGAGTTGTGCGTAGTGTGTGGTGCGTAGTGCGTGGTTCGTGGTGCGTAGTGAGCCCATCAGCTCGTCCTCATCATGTGCTACCCTACATATGTGGTATCCTACATTATCAGCCCCCGGGCGTCCCGTCCAGGAATTTAAATACCGCGCGCTCTCTTCCATAAGTCGGCAGAAAATTAAATATTTCCACGGCTCTGCATTCCCCGCCCGGCAACGCGTAATATGTGAGGAATATTGAGAGAAACACCAAGATATTTTATGGAATATTCCGACACCGGATATAAATCTAGCACTATTTAGTCTGAATAAGATAAATAGGAGCGATGTGTTAATAAATATTGTGTATATCGTTATGTATATAGTTATAGATTTATTAGTACCTAAGTCCTAGTAATATTCTGTAGATAGTCGAAGAAGTTTCCTAGCCGAAGCTTTGGGTTTTCCGATCTAAGTGTTAGAGGATAATTGTGTGTACGGTGTTTGTAATTGTTGCGTGTGATAATAAAAATATATTTCAGTTTACAATTTTTATACACGATTATATTTTTGTTTAAATTAACGTTTTCTCGTGGTCTATCAGATTTCGAGTTATCGGTTAAAACGGGTCTCGTGTAGTATCGAAAACTCATCGAAGCATTAACTTGAAAGGTTTAACAAGTTTTAACTCGACTTAAAGATTGTTAAACTTTAAGATTTGTTTTCTTTGGATGTTTATAGATAGGAGGATATGGAGCTGCTTGCTGTTTCCCTGCCCTCTACCGAAATACCCTTTCCTGTCCTCAAATACGATCATACTGTTCGTCGATATTTGCCTTTCTAACAATAAAGTGTAATCTAGTGGATGTCCATACATAATTAGTCTTGATTTTTGAAACTGTTTGCAATAAAATTTGTTTAGATTTTCCTTTTCATACTCGTCCGTTCTAAGTACGTATGTACATAGATTCAGATAACAGAGTTTTATTTATAAATATTCTCCTGTAAACTCTAGATTTTATGTATTACTATAATAAGATTATGAAAGAGTACAACAATCGATGCAAGATAGAAGTGTGAGTACAATCTGCAAGAAATACTGGAACACGCTTTAACAACGAAACTATCTGATTTATATACATATAAAAGGATATAAAAAAGCTTTTGGTTTTTTGTTGTTTGTTAACTGCGCACAAAAACATTACAAACACCCAGTGAAAAGCGTTTATGAACTAAAGCAATATGAGGAGTGAAGTACAATAATGGAAGTAGAGAATAGTTCAAAGTGTGCCTAAACCTCGAGAGAACTGTTCGGTAAAACGGGTTTTCCTAAAATACCAAAGGGAACAAACTAGGATTCTACGGACTATAAGCAGCTATGGAGTTTTTATCCCTGGAGGGACCGCCTTTGAATACGTCGGAGTATCTTTTAAAATTCGACGACGAATACGCAATTTTGGTGAACATTGAAGATTTACGTTTAGAAAACATCTCACTTGTAAACGGTACAAATGGCACGTACGATCCGAACAACACGTACATCATATTCCGCGAGGACTCTTTGTATCCGAGCGGGTATTCTATGGAGGCAATCATCCTGGCATCCATCGTAGTTACAATGCTGATGGTAGTGGTTGTGGTAGGGAATATGCTGGTCATCATCGCCATCGCCACCGAGAAGGCCCTCAAAAACATACAAAACTGGTTCATCGCGAGCCTAGCGGTCGCGGACTTCTTCCTCGGGTTGGTCATCATGCCGTTTTCGCTCGCCAACGAGCTGATGGGCTATTGGATATTCGGTTCGTTGTGGTGTGACATACACTCGGCCATGGATGTGCTGCTGTCTACCGCCTCCATCATGAACCTCTGCCTCATCTCCCTGGATAGGTACTGGTCCATCACCCAGGCCATCGACTACCTCAAGAAGCGCACCCCAGCCCGCGCCGCCATCATGATCACCCTCGTTTGGATCCTATCAGCTGTCATCTGCATACCTCCACTGCTAGGCTGGAAGGTCGAACGTCCTCCTGAAGAGTTTCCTAAATGTATGGTAAGTGACCTGCAATGCCACAATGCTTTTAAGTTACTAGAATTATTAAATATAAGTTGTTTTTTTCATTTAGTTGGAAGCAGAGCAAGAAGTTTAGTATTGCTTCTATAGTGTCGAAAAATGTACCTTTAATTTTAACTGTGTAATTAATTTTATAATAACTGAAAGAAAAATATTGTTGGTTGATTATTTTCCAAGTTTTTTACACGATGTACATATTTGACATTTAAGCTTATTTATTACATTAAAGCCTTTACTACACTTCCAAGGTAGTTTATATCTATAAAACGACAACAGGATGCATTACAAAACATACACCTGATACTACTGTTGACGAGAGTTTCTCGACAGGGTTAAAACTTTGCTCCCTTTAAGATCAATGTACTGCATTCAGTTTAATTTTTGAAGGAAATTCATGTGAGATTTTTTAGTTTTGAAAAATAAATGAAAATTCTATGCCAATATCCAAATGAATTTAGAATCAGAGAATCCACAATTCTAATGATTGATTAAAGAATTATACGTTATGACAAGTTATACTACATTATTATTTATAAATGATTATAATAAAGATGAAATTATAAATGGAAGTACATTTCATAAAATGTTTTCTGAAAAAATAAAATTATGTGGAACAGAAAAATGTTATGTCTACATATTCATAACGTTGATCACATGTTTGGTAAACTGACTACGAATCTCAATGATGCCTGATTACTAAAATAATTTGTATCTATCTTTCATTATGTAAAAATTAAGTGTCTGTAGTGTAGTTACCGTTTTGTTTGCTTAGAAGATTCTTACTAAACAATAGTTAGTGATCGTGATAATATCCAAATTATTTTGATACTATTGATAGTGTGATTAGAAGCAGCCCTTTTCTTAAGACTAGAGTTAGACTTCATATCAGGTATGCAGTACACATATATTATCTAAATATCTTTTAAACCTGAACATTGAACCCAGCAGACATTCTTGTTGACGGAAACGACTACTATTACAGGTTGAACTGAAGCAATCAACGGAATGTTGGTAATCGGGGCCTTGATTGTGCCTGGGAGTCATCAAACAGTGGTTCTGACCTCACCTCTGTCCCCTCACCTCCGAACAGGGGCCACAATCCTACCCTATACGTTCACATGGATATTGATTTTACTAAGTTGCAACTCATGACTATTAGAGACCAAAAGTAAGTGGGGTTGTAACCACTTTTTAGCACATTCAACCCATTCCTAAATCCTTTTATCGATCTCATTTCCAAAAAATACATAATAATTTGATCAACAAATACTTTCCTATATTCTTTTTGGCGGGTTTTAAAGGCAACAAACAAATCAAAAAAACGTATCAACACAACGGGGTTTTTCACGCTATTGAAAGTAAAAATATACCTAACTATACAATATGATATTTGTCTTAGGTAATAGCAATTTTAAAAAATAGTTCGAGAAATTGTAGAGGTTTGCAATTTTGCATAGCAGATGGGAGAGCGGGCTGATCTAGTATTAGAGCACGGGATTTCGGTATTTGAGGTTCCTGGCCAAAGTCCCGCCAAATTACCAATAGATTTTATCCCAGACTAGACAACACTATGTATAGTGTATGACAACCCAGACTAGACATACACCATCTTCCAGGTGTGGTGTCTATTGTCTGTGATTTTATCTAAATGATAATGCTTCACCCCTATTTGCAGTACACATCGATTGTCTTTAAATGGAAATATATTTTTAGCCTAAACACTGGACCAGGCAGATGTACTTTTTGACGGAAACGAAAACCATTAACAGGTGAAACTGAAGCATTCAACGGAATTACTAGGGTATAAATTCTGGTTGGGGGTTAGTTGAAATTACCTTAGGCTTGAAGAATTTTAAAAATATAAATCCTAGCTTGTGCCTAGTGTCCCAGGGAAATAAAATACTTAGCAAATATATTAATAGGTGTTTTAAAGTTTAAGTCTTTTTGCTAAGTGGAAACCTTTAAAAACACCCATTATGAATGTTGTTTAACTGTTGTGGAAAAATATTTTTTTACTTAATTTAACTCTAACTATGTTACGTATAGATATTTAACTTATGGAAGTGACATTAAAGTAGTTATATTATACCCTGGTTTGGTAAAATTACTTACGATAGTTCCATGTGGAGGATATGAGGTTAAAACAAGTCTGTCTTTTATATCGAAACCTAATTGAATATTAATAATAAATTACTAATTGTTTTACCCAGTTATTCTGTTAATAATCCAACAAATAATAAATGAGATAATATTTAAATCTTTACATTAAATTTATTTTAAATCTCCAGCATTCTATACTGAAAACAAGCTAGGTATATAACACTGGGTTCACTGCATATACCTGTAATCGATATATCTTTTCCTCAAACTCTATCTCTCTCGCTCTTTCCCTCTCCCCACCCCAGATAATGTCCTTAGTAACTGACTCTTAATCTAAACCAATGTATAATATACTTTGAAAACACATGCTTATAAACTGGTGTTACAGTGTCTTAACTTTTGTTTTTGTTTAAATCACAATAGCAACTAAACAAAAATCCTTTAAACGCTTTATCCAAACATATGTGGTCTTTAGTTGAGTGCAAATAGTAAAACCAAAGATTACATAAACCAAGTAAAACTCAACCACATCCTACCATGGAAATATGTAATGTAAAAGACTTTATAATGAAACAATTTTAGGCGTTCAATGAAATATGACCTAATAATAAACGTAGAAATATATATTTTTATATGTGTAAATTTATGTATGTTATTAATGAAATAAATTTGTGAGCGAAGCTCCTTGAAGTAAACCTGAAGTAAATAAAACTAGTAAATTAAAACAAAGGGTGTGTGGGTTTAGTTTTAGTCCGAAAACACTCAAACTCAGTATGATGTTTTGTTGTCATTACAATGGTTGTTTAAGTGATTAGATGCACACGAACAGATTAAAACGAAAGAATATGTAATAATTTAAGTCTTAGAGGTTTTTCTTCGTTTTATTTGTAAATATCAATTACAATTACAAATTACTTGCAAAAATTTGTTTTGAGACTTTTCGATTTATTTTTCAGACATACACAAACTCTATTCGAAAGAGAACATAAACTTATCTTAGTTATATTGATGATACCTACTAAATTAGTAACGATAAATTAACACTAAACCCTGAGTACGTACAACACTTTCTATAGTTGTACTGCCTGCTACTTCTTGCTATAGTACTACAAACACTTTTAAGAAAGCTTAAAAAAATGTTTCCCCTTTATATTGAAACATATGACAGTACTAAATGGGCATTTAATTACCAATTTAATTGGAGTATTAAGAGACGGTTATATGGCCAAAAGCACTGATTAGAAACTGTAAAATATGCATTAGCAATAATCTGTCATTAGCCTAAATGAAGCAATTAACATCTCATATTGACCCTATGTGATTAATGTGTCCCATCGACCTATTACTTATTTCAGATCTATTACCTATGCTATATTCATGTAAATAGTTCATCTATAAGGGGGTTTCTAGACCATCGTATTTTTGTTTCATTAAATAGCATTTTTACGGTTTGGTTGATAAAAATTTTCTAACAAGTCTAATTAGACCATCATTTAGTCAACTAAATTACAGATTTAAATAGAAAAACCAGTATTGGAATTTCTGTTGTATTTATTCCTATAATACTTTACATCCACCTACTTAATTAGAACTCGTTAATCAATACTTACTCATTTATATTTAATTATCTGTGTAATAATCATCATTTTGACGTTCAGTTAGTGGTTTTACAAAATCAATTTATTTGGAATGACTTGCTCTTCCCTGTTCAAAGGTGTTGATCGATGTACTGTTATTTGTGGAGTTATTAGTGCACAAAGTGGCAGTGAACATTTTCTCGAGTGCAGCAAAGGCACTTTGCGCTCGCGTTAAACATTATATTTTTCCCACAGTTATAAAGCATATAGATAATTAGTCCAACATTAAACAATCCTTTTAAGGTTAGGTTAAATCCAAGCGCTTAACGACAATAGAATGTTAATACGCAGCAACATGTTTATAGGCTAAGTAAGTCGTAGTACCAATAAACATATTACATTTTATTATTGCATATTACATTAAGGCCTTTTATACACTTTTAAGGTAGTTTATGTCCATGAAACGATAACAGGATGCATTACAAAACATACACCTGATACTACTGTCGACGGGAGTTTCTCAACAGGGTTAAAACTTTGCTCCCTTTAAGATCAATGTACTGCATTCAGTTTAATTTTTGGAGGAAATCCATGCAAGTTCTTGTAGTTTTGAAAAATTAACGAAAATTCTTTTCCAATATACAAATTATCTTAGTATCAGAGTCCACAATTCTTACGATTGATTAAAGAATAATACGTCATGACAGATTATACTATATTTTAAAATATAAATGATAGATTATGATAATGGTGAAATTAGGAATTTAAGTACGTTTTAGAAAAATCTTTCTGAAAAAAACATGTAGTTATGTCGAACAGAAAAATTGTATGTGCTTCCCTGTGCAAAGATTTTGATCCATCTACTATTATTTGTGAGGTTATTAGTGAACAAAGTGGCAGTGAAAATTTTCTCGAGTGCAGCAAAAGCACTTTGCGCTTGCGTTATACATTATATTTTTCCCACAGTTACTAAAGCATATAGATAATTAGTCAAACATTAAACAATCCGTTTAAGGTTAGGTTAAACCCAAGCGCTTAACGACAATAGAATGTTAACACGCAAAAACAGGTTTAAGTCGCAGTATCACTAAACAATATTGCAAGGTTGGAAACATTGCACCCGCAGATCCTAGTTGTAGTATCTTTAAGTTTTGCCAACTTGTTTCGAGCATACACGTATTACGTGAGTAATACAAGCACAATATTTTGTGTTGTTAGGTTGAAATAGTGCGGAAAAGTAAAATGAGTGTGGAAAAGTAAAATGAGTGCGGAAAAGTAAGTAAATGCAGGAACTGGCTACTT